TTTTGATCAAGTCACCAAGCAATATCAATTTAATCCACCGTCTCACGCTACTCCTTTGCAAGAATCACCGTTCTTTAAGGCCTTCACTTGGACGAATTCAAATTGCAAATTATTGTCACCCAAGATTTCCAATCGGTTCACTGTAACACGCTACTCCTTTGCAAGAACCTCCTGTTCTTCAAAGCTCTTCACTTGATCAAATCCGAATTGTGAAATATTTTCAAAATCCCCAAATCAACACTATGATCTTGGAGGAAAACTCTCACAATTTTTCCGATGAAACCCCCAAAAGTTCTCAACCCAATCTTAGGTTACACCATCCTAAATTGAACGTTATCAACACAAGTTTAGATGGCACATAAACAATGAATGATTATGTGTACTTTGTTTGTGTGTATGCATAGATGAGAGGTTGAAGATGATGAGAAATTTTTGTATGTGTTTATAGTTTCATCAAATTAAAAATGATACATGTATGAAGTATTTATGTGTGCAAGTTGGAGGCAAAAAGGGAGGCTTAGAAATTGAAAAGAAATACAAATTTTATGAAAAATTACCGTATGTGTCGACAGGTATAAGTCATATGCCGACACATGTAATGACATGTGTCGACCTATTCAAGGTCATGTGTCGACACACCGAAAAAGAGGCTTACATGCTTTAAAAATGTAGTACATGTGTTGACCTGAAACACGTATGTGTCGACACATGGATGAAAACTTTTTGTATGTGTCGACACATAGTTACAGAAGCTACAAGCTTTATTATTGATTCACATGTGTCGACTCATACATCGTATGTTTCGACACATAGACCTGTTTTTCATGTAAAAACTCATTTTTAATGCATGATACCTTTTCTAAACGTATTTTAAATGCATTCAAAGATCCTTAATGCGAAGGTACACATAAAAACTCAGAGATATTGTTCAACATACAGAAATGCTAAGATTATCCTAGTTTTGACATCATACAAAACATCTAAAAGGAAAGTGCACTCACACTAACGACAATTGAACATTTAAAAATTCAAAATATAGTATAGAGACAATTTCTTAAAGTCAAAATACAAAGTATTCGATCTTCATCTAACTGTCAAAATTCTTTAAACGTGTGATTACGTTTTTCCTAACTGCAATCGCAAACTAAAATGAAAGTCAATTTGTAACCGCCGATGAATATTAGGATTTGAAACAATCCATTTCTTCTCTTCTTTCTCTAACTGTCTAACCAATATCGCAGCAAGAAATCGTTTGATAAACTCTTTACAACACTCTTTTCCTCGACAAATTACCTCAAAGCTTTCCTCACCTCTTGAATTATTACTCTTCACACCAGCAACTTCATCTTTCTTCCCATACATAACACTTGAATCATCAAACTTCAACACAAATGCTCTTTGACATCCTTCAAAAAGTCTCTCACCCAATGAATCAATGATATAGTAAGCATCAATCTCCACCTTCAAAATAAAGAAATGATCATTCCAACTAACTATGTAAATTCTCGCCTCAAAATCATCCATCTTGTTGTTCTTTATCTCTTTCCAAATCTCATCAAAAGACATAACTCCTTCTAAGCAATGAAACTTCTCCGGCGAGAAAAAACCTGTGTATGATTTCTGAGGAAGAACATTTATAGGTCTCAAATTCGCATCCAACACTGTTTCTAAATCAAAATGTTTATCCGGAAAGAGCTTTGAGTAATAATCACTTTTGCATAATTTTCTCCATTCAGATGAACCTTGTGTGATGAGGTTATCAAATTGTGTTCTTGTTGGTATACCTTTATTGGAATGAAGCCAGTGAGCTATTAACGCAACTAAAACTGTGCATGCACTTTCACCATAGGCCTTTTCACTTCGTTGATCAAACGAAGCAAAAAACACATTTGTTTTGAGCTTTGTTTGGCAATCTCTACTTAAAATATAATTGGTTTCCCATTTACCTGCATTGCCTTGGAGTGTGTTTGAATTTGTATTTTTCTTTGAGGCTAGAAACGTGATTCTTGTCTCTTTGGGGCTGTTGCTAGATGAACTGCCACCGCTTGTTGTGCACTCGTTGGATGAGTCATCCGAGTCAAAGACAGGAGAATAATCTGATTCGTAAGAATCAAAGTTGGTGCCACTGTTTTTGTTTGTCAAACATGTTAAATATTTCACTTTTTCTATGATTCCGTGTTTCTTATCTGACTTTACCGTGTTTTCAAAGGTTGTTCTTGCTGAGTCACATAACCTTAGACAAACCTGTAAAAAAATAATTAATTAATTAATCATGGTATTAGTTTCTACCTTCTTGTTAATTAATTAATCATGGTATTAGTTTCTGTATTTCAAAACCTAAATGTAATAAAAAATCTTAATTTTAAGTTTTTCTCAGCTATATGTTTCAAACAATTTCAAACTCCGCGATTACAATTCACATGCAATAACCGTAATAACTACAGTCACAACTATATCCTTGACTACAACCTCAATTTAAAAATTATAGTTAAATAATTAGTTAATAGTAGTATTAATAAAGAAAAGAAAGAAAAATGGAGCATACCGAAAGGGTAGCTTCGAAGATTAAACCATTGACTTTCAACCGTATTGGAAGCTTCCTTTGAATACTGGGTTCGTTTTTCATCTCTTCCATGGGAAGGGTCATAAAAACTTTTCCCACCACCGTCCTTTTACGTTTTATTTCTTCTACACCACCCTCTCCCTGAATGATCAATGAAAACACATAGTAACACATTAACTAAATAAACAAAACAATATTCAAAATCAATAAAAGAAAAAGAAAAAAAGAAAAAGAAAAAAAAATCTTACATATAAGACATGAAATGCCACCTGGCAAACATCTTTGAATCCGAGTTCAAAAACGCATAGGTCGCGATCGTCCCATACAAGAGAAGGAGTTTTTGCAGAAGTGATGAATCTACGACAGGGCGTGGTATGAGTACAAGGTTGTTGTTTTAAGGTACGATGATGAAATTGAAAGGGAATTATCAAACAAGAAGGAGGAGAAGAATTTTGGTCATGTCCTTTCTTAATCCATGTTATTTCAATGGCTAACTTGTCGTTTACGGTTGTGGAAACTTTGGCACCAAAAAGTCCTAGTTGAAGCTTTAACTGAGTCACCTTAACTGCGTGTTTGTTGCTCTGCCCTGAACCCAACCACCACTTCATCATCGTTATCACTCCTTCTCCTTCTTGCTCTTGTTGCTAGCACAAGATAACGTTATATTTGATCAAATGAACAAGCCAGGGATTAATTATATGTTTGATATGTATTGAATAAAAACATGTAGGAATGAATAGACAAGTGTTCCAATGAATCTTAATTTGGCCATTCGCAATTACGACCGAGTAGTTTATGTATATTATAGTACTTGTGTTTTTTTTCTTCTTTCATTGAAATTTAAGAATTGAACAAGAATGGAACGGTTTACACACTCGTAGTCAATTGGAGCGAGTCACAATTTTTGTGTAAGAGGACTGCTACGGCCCATACCCATCACACACGCATACGCTTACATTTTTTTTTCAAGTGATTAAAATCATAACGTAAAATATTTATTTTGGTCTCTCAACTATATTTTTGAATTTAGATTGATTCTTTAATTTTTTTTCCTTATCACTTTAGTTCCTTAATTTTTAAAATGTTTTTCTGTCACTAATTTGATAAAAAGGACTAAAGTGAAATGTTTTGAAAATTAAAGGATCAAAGTGACACGAAAAAAAATTAAGAGACTAATTTGAATCCAAGAGTATAGTTAAAGGACTAAAATAAATATTTTATCAAAATTATAATAATAAAGATGTCTTGTTAATTAAATTTTATATAATTGTGGAATGATCTTTTATATTACACTTGACATTTAAAAAGAAATGCATTTGTGTCTGTATTAGTATTTGAGATGTCAGGACTTTATAAAAGACATTAAATACAAGATAAAATTTTATTTATTCATATTTAAAGGGTGAAATTTTATTTTCAGTGATATTCTATTTTTTTTCATTTTTAAATGATAAAATTTCAGTTATTATATTACTTGACAAAAAATATTACTATAACAATTATAACTAAGTTTAAATAAAAAATAAATAAATAATTAAACTTAAAATCACTCTTTGAAGTTGGACGGTTGAAATCAATCATACCTCATTGAAATCATATTAGAAGATTCTTATAATCTAATAATGTGTGAACATGTCATTTTCTTGGTGTTGCGTGGAGTATATTTTTTAAATAGCATTCAAATATTATTGTTGGACAATTATTAAATTCATAAACCATTTCAAATTTTAGCACTTACTTTTTCGGGTTATATTATGTACGGTATAATTTAAAATCTTGTAGAAAGTTAAAAATTAATTTTGAAAAGTTTCATTTTTCTATACAAAAGAAAAGAAATTAGTATTGAATTTTTTTTTTTTAAAATAAAATAAATCAATCAGTTCAAGCATTTATCAAAGAGAAGTTAAAAAAGTAATTTAATGTTGAGAAAGTTATAAAATTTTGGGTTTAAGTATGTCTTTAGTTTTACAATGACGGAAATTGGTTTTGAGTGAATTAATTTTGTAAAATTAATTTTGTTTAAGGGCAAAATTTATGTTGGTTGGTGTTTTGGACTGGGCCCGACAGGCCCAAAAGCATTACTAAGGCCCAATCCAAAGGGACTTATTGAGGACCACGCCGAGCAAAGGGGTCACATCCGTGCCCGACATCTTGATGTCCAGCTCGACATCCCACTGTCCAACTCCAAGTGATGATGTCCAGCTCCACCTCTTGACGTCCAGCTCGACATCCTGACGTCCAGCTCGACACCCTGCAGTCCAGCTCGACACCCCGCTGTCCAGCTCGACGTTGTCTCGAGCATCCCAACTAGGGCAGACTCAGTCCACCGTTCCCCCAACGATACTCCGGAAAGACCGCGTCTTCGTCCGCCCGCACTTCACGCAGCACATCCAGGAAGGGGACCACGTGCGGGTCCCCACTACCCACGTAGAACCTGGCAGTTCCTCCATTGGGCCAAATCCGCCCGGCCCAATGAAGGGACCTTGGCCCAGCGCTGGGGGCTATAAATACCCCCTGTTTCCAGAGGGTCAGGTATTGATCATTCTAACCTCAACTTACTATTATCTGCTCGTACTCCTACTTACTTCAGCATCGGAGTGCCTTGCAGGTACCCCCCCACCTCGTTCAAAAAAGCTTTCTGCTCGGAGCCAACCGTGACGGTCCATTTCTGATCAGGTCAGATCAGTGGCGCCGTCTGTGGGAAACAGCTTCCCCGTCTAACGAACAATTCTAAGGACCAAAGCTCAATTCAATTACCTGTCATGGCTGACCCAGCTCACGACGAGCAGCACGTCCGTGTCGCCGACACTAATAACGGCCCCGCGGACAAGAACGGACACCTTGACAATCCCGGTGATCCCGTCCACAATACCATCCCCGTGACAACCGCTCCTGGACCTTCCTTCCGCAGGGACGGGAATACTGCGTCATCCTCGACGACCCCTCCAGCACTCGAGGACGACCCGGAAGCTCTCGCTTATCGTAGAGCTGCCCGGTTCTATGAAGTCCCAGTTCCTGCCGGGGCAGATGCCACGACTCAGGCACTGTTCGCGGCCATCAACCAGACAAATTATCTCATATTCGCCCAAGGAGAAAGACTAAGGGCACTAGAAAATGATCGACGACCCCCGAGGAGGCACTAGAGGCCACCCTCTCCACCTCCTCGGGTTGAAGAAGTTCGACACCCTTCTCCCCCGCGGAGACACTATAGGGAGAAATCCAGGAGCCCCTCTCCCCAGCCAAAGCAGAGGCATCCCCAATATGAGAGACAGCCCGTCATCCATACCGAAGAACCCAGTCACGACCCCTCAAGGCACGACAAGAGGCACGCCGGAGACGGGCGGGTGACCTTCAACCACCGAGCATCACGCTCGAGGGAATCTCAGCACGACCATCGTTCCAGACATAACTACAGGACCCCTTCTCTTTCTCCGGAGAGGAGCGACGAGGACGACCCCCGCGGTCCCCTGTCGCAGGCCATCATGGACGCACCTATCCCCCCGGGGATGGAGAAACCCCCGCATCTGAAGGAGTATGATGGAGTAGCGGACCCGGTCGACTACATTGACGGGTTCGAAGCCATGCTCCACTACCATAATGTCGGGGGACCCATCAAATGCCGCCTTTTCCCCACAACTCTCAGGAAGGCGGCCATGGACTGGTATAAAGGGCTCGCCCCGGGCTCAATTACATCGTGGCGGAACCTGAAGAACCAGTTCATCAGTTCCTTCACAGCTTCTCGGCGCCACCCGAAGACCGAGGCGGCCCTCGAGGCCATCATCCAAAGACAGGATGAAACCTTGAGGGAATTCATCAACCGCTTCAACCGGGAAGCAATACAGGTCCCCTGCGCGGACCATATGAAAATATATTTGCTGGAGAGGGGCCTCCTCCCCGGCACAGAATTCAGAAAAGTTGTGGGTATTGAGCCGCCTGCAACTTTTGACGCTCTCCTCGACAAAGCCCGAGCTTACATGGACTACGAGGAGAGAGAAGCTGCCAACAGGGCACGAGACTCCAGGGCTCGCGCTCCCAATCATGGCAGCAGCTCGAGACAAGACCCTCCTCCCCGACGTACCGGGGAGAAAAGGAAGGAAGATCGACCCCGGGAGGTCCGGGAACAAAGGGGCCCATCGGGCCGTTTCACCGAGTACACTCCGCTCACGGCTTCCCGCGAGCGTATTTTGGCGGAGTGTGCTAGCACAGATTTCAAAGACGGTGGCGTCAAGCGTCCCCGACCTGCTCCTGCCAAGCCAGGGGTAGACAAAAATAAATACTGTCAATACCATAGAAGTCATGGTCATTTGACAGAGGACTGCGTCCACCTCAAGGACGCCATTGAAACCCTCATCAAGGGAGGGAGGCTCGCGCAGTACAGGCGAAACGACGCTTCCCGTCGGGACGCCCATGAAGCTAAGGAGCCCGAAGAAGATGCCCGACCATCTGACGAGTCGGTGCCAATCCAGACTGCCTTCTCGGTAACCAGGCCCGAGGATTTCGAAATTCCCGAGCTCCTGCAGGAGCCCCTGGCAACACACAGCAGGTGGGAATACTTCCCCTCCGCCATGGTCATCAGCGGGGGCGGGTTCAACGACCTCACCATCAATTCAGCCAAGAGGAAGTTGGACGAATTGGTCGACACAGCTCCTCCTCAAACTGTGACGTTCGAAAGGGTGAAGGGCAGGTCAGAACCCATCACCTTCTACTTAGAAGAGCTCCCCGGCGGAGCCCCGAACGCAGTCATCCCCTTGCTGATAAGGGCAAAGATGGCCAATTTTGACGTGCATCGCATCCTGGTCGACAAAGGGAGTTCCGTCGATGTGATGTACAGCCAGCTGTTCCGGACCTTGCAACTGGACGACTCACACCTCTCTCCGTATGTGGGTTCAGACCTTCAAGGCTTCAACGGCTCGACTTCCAAACCTTGGGGTTATGTCGAGCTCCTGGTGACGTTCGGGGAAGGAACGGCTACAAGACAGGTCAAGGTCCGCTTCCTCGTCATTGACTGCCCTTCCCTATACAATTGCATCTTGGGGAGGCCGACATTGGCGGAGCTGACAGCGGTGCCCTCAACTGTCCATCTAAAAATGAAGTTCTACACCAAAAGGGCAAGGGTAGCCACCATCCAGGGAGACCTCGCCGCTGCCCGCAGGTGCTTCAACGCCGCGTCAAGGGGACGGGATACCGTCGACGTGGGGACCAGACCCACCAAGAAGACAAAGCAAGAGCCCGACAGAGCATCCCCCGAGGTAGAAGTTCAGAAGGCTCCACCAAAGGTCGACTCCATAGCCCTCGACGCCCGCTTCGACCAAGACGAGCCATCCAGCAGCGAGCAAATCCCACTCCGACCCATTCCGGACGGCGATTTTGAACTCGTCCCCCTCGGAGCAGACCCGACCAAGGGAGTGAAGATTGGCAAAGACCTCCCCGACTTGGCCAGGAAGCAAATCAAGGCCTGTCTGCGCGAGAATGCTGATCTCTTCGCCTGGAGCGCTGCAGAGATGCCCGGACTCGACCCTGAGGTCGCCTGTCATCACCTCGCCATTGATCCAGCCGCCAAGGCCGTAGTACAACGTAGACGCAGGCAGTCTCCAGAAAAAACGGAGGCTGC